TATATATATATATATATATATATATATATATATATATATATATGTACATTCATATACATACGCACGCAGTATACACATACTGTGTATACATAACAATATATAGTAACAATACACTGTACAGTGCGTAACAGAGTGTCTACTGGCCTTAGGGCGATGTAAATCGCTAGCATATTTTCTGTTTTCTCTCGCTGAGAGGAAACTTCTCAAGTTTTCCGCAGCACGAAGACTCGTTTCGCGGGAGATCGATCAGAGAGCGTGAGACAAACTGCATACAAATTCCGCGTGTATCCCACGAGTTTCCCAATCTCATTATGAAAATCTTTGGGGATATCTTTCACACCGAGAGACGTAGCTTCACATAGGAGCAAACTCCTTCCCTCGTTAAAAAAAATTGTACACGAGTATGAAACCTCGGTAGACACTCTGCGCCGGTCGACAAATGACAACTACCGACTCTAGGACACTAGTTTTACTAGCATCTAGCACAGAGCACAAATTACACTTATTATTATTATTATTATATATAGATGAAAGTTTTTCAGATGTGTTGAGAATGCCGAATGCTTTTAGCTACACACTCACCCGGACAATGACTAACACACTGCTGCGATCTAATCGTTTTTCTTTAACTTTTTTCATTTTTGTTTTCTCAGCTTGAATATTATATACGTGTCTTTTTTCTTAGCCGTTGCACTAAATGTGTACGCCAATCTTGCGAGCGAACACTGAAAAATCGGAACACCGATGATCTCGTCGGTAGTGCTGTCAATAACCGGTTATTATTCACCGTTGTGATTATAAAAATCAGTAGCATCCGGAACTAACCGGAATGCAGAAAATATTGACAGCATGGATTCTTAGCACGTTCGTTGCCACGTGCGTCATATATGTGTGACACACTGATCTCTTATGACCAGCGTAACATATATGTGACAATGATAATATTTCTTTCTATATCTACATATAAACATATTAAATCTGTTTTATATAAAAGGAATGTGGGATGAGCTGTGGAACAAATTCCTCAAATAAATCGTGGTAGCGAACGTGTTAGTCTACAAAATTCGATGGATCCGCGCCTGTGCCTCCGGGAATATTCTATGTATTTTCAGCGTAAAACAATATATGAGAATGAATCTTTCACGTATTGAATGTCAAAAGACATGATTTATCTTACTATATAGGCTAGAAAGTTCATAATTTGTGTCACATCGAGAGAAATATTAATGATAATATTATTAATATATATAATATTTCATTCGTCACTTCTCGCTCGTCAACGATGTAAAACGGAAAATTGAATGTTGCTTCGTACTAGACGTTGTGAAGTTAGCACAAGTTGCAAAATTATCTGACTAATTCTCGTAAAAACGTTCCCGGAAACAAGTGTGGATTTAACATAAAGGGACTGTATTCTTGATGCATATTCGAAAGCTAAGTACCCGAGTTGAAATTTTAGCCCTATCTTGAACCTGAACTTTTCAACATTTGTATATTTCGAAGAATCTGTGTATGTATAATATGCTTGGAAACTGAAATCCTATTCAGTGTCTTCAGATCGCAGAAAATACTACTTATAGGTTCTAAAAAGTATCCTACGGCGAAGATTAAATAGCATCAATAGAAATTGATATATACTGGAGATTGATAGAATAGAGGCTTCTCAGAGCATCAAAGTTAAATGAAATATTGAAGTTGAAAATAGCACCAAAATTTCGACTGGAGTTTTCTGATTCTCAAGTTAAAACAATTTCGTACGGGACGCTCGTATAAGAAAAACAAAACTTGAAGTAAAAAAGCGTATTTAGCGTTCGAATAAGTCAAGTATACAGTCTGTGGTTTCACGCTGCGAAACTCTTGATTGATGATGTAGCGAGAAAACGCGTACCCAAAACTCTTGCGAAGTAAAAGGATATATGTCCATAAAGTAACCCTTGGAATCGATTTAACATATTTGTAATTCTGAAAACTTCTCTTTAACAATCAATAAATAACTAGAAACTGAACATCTCAGATAGCACAAACTTCTAAAAAATGTTTTATAGGCGACCAAATGTTTTATAGGCGAACCACGTTATATTTCTTTTAGACGATTCTCAGACATCTTTAAGACATTTTTTAAAAGTTTGTGCTATCTGGAATGACATACAATATTCCTTTTTAACATATCTTTTTTTTATAATTTGTTACGTTAAATTTTGCGATCATTTATTGGTTGAATAAAAAGAAAGTTTTCAGAATATTTTTCAAATGTGCTCAGTTGATCACAAATGTCACTTTATTTCGACATATTCTCCAAAATAATTTTGAGCATACATTTTCTCGCTCTTTCGACGTCATTAATCAAGATTGCCGCGGCAAGGACACAAGAGCCATAAGATCAGTGTCATACCAGTAGACTAGAAAAGAATCACTGTCATTGGGAATGCTCGTCGCGATCGGAGAAAATTTCTTCTTTTCCGCCGAATGCACGTTTCATCAAATGTTCTTCTTAGTCAACTGTGATTTTTTTTCTTGCGTGAATTCTTCTCTTTTTTTTCTTTCTCATTTGTTGTTAACGTGAAAAATAAGTAACCGTGCGTGTCGCAGTGGCAAAGCAGCTTTCGAGAACTTTGAGCGACATGATGCACGAACTGAGCTGAGTGAATAAAGTAGCCTCTTTTAGCGACGTATGCGATACTTTCGCAATCCACCTCAGATCGCGACGCTTCGATATTCTCCGATACTATCTTTGTACCGCATCGCCGCTTTATAATCATACCTGGCGGCAATGGTGACGACGACGACGTTCTCCGTCATCGTCGTCATTCTTTTTAACGTTGATTTTAATGTTGAAACCGCCGAGCTACAAATATTTCCGTAGCGCGACAGATCGTCTTCGCTGGCACGAACGCTTGCGCGAACGCTGACTTGCTCTTTAAAGTTTAATCTACAATGAGCTCTTTGCTTCCTGGTTCTTGTTCTGTCTATTTCTGACTGAAAGTTTCAGTTAGAAAAGATAAAAAGAAAGAAATAAAAAGCAAAGAATACACTGTGGATTAAACATATAACATTTTCTAAAAACTGCAATACTCCGTCTGTTCTTGCGCTTCTGCCGACCCGGACCAAATGAAGAATCTCACAGTCTGATCACCGGTTTGAAAACTTGTCGAGCACGAGCGGTCGCATGTGACGCGTTTCCAATGCCCGACCCTGCACACGGACTTGTATTGCATGTCTTTTTACACATCACTCAACTACACCGTTCATTTCGAACGACAGTCGCGTTGGTCCGTCGTATTAAATGACTCATAGCGCAATGTAGCGCGATAACGTCCTCGCTCGCGGAATGCAACGAGAAAAAATGAGAAAAAGAGCGTACAGCGGAGATCAAGAGATGCCGCGATTCGATTCCGCTGATAATTTAAACCGCCAGCTGACGTTACGGATCTTCGATTCCTCGATTTCCTTGACTCTCAATTTCGTCTATAAACTGAGTTGAGCAAGAAAGAATATCTCACATATTTGGATTAGAGCGTTAAATGCAAATCTACGATCGGATTACTTATAACATTGTGCAATAAAGGGGTCATGTAACCAGATTATCGTAATCGAGGCGAGTTCGGGGCAAGAGTTTAAGTAACTGAGTTCATGATTTTTAGGGTATATACAAGGTATCTCAGACATCCATAATGACCCTTTATGAGAACGTAGAACGGATTGAGGTGAACAAGAAAGTTCTGTGCCGTTTTGCGATATTCGCAATAGTTTTTGAGAAATTAATTATTTTGTCTCAGCTAATGAGAGCAGACGAAGCGCCAGCTTCAGTGCCGAAAGAAAGATGTCTTCGGCTGGCGCGCGACCGTGATACACGCGAATCGCGAGTCGCCGCGATCCTCCGCCCATGTCTACGGGACACAGCGAAGCTTGATATACTAACACATGTGCATGCCATATCCATGTGCCGAATCGAAACGTGTCATTACTTCGGTTGCATGTATGTAGAGATGAAACAACGAAGCGGCAACACATTCTTAGATTCGGCGTCGATTCGGCACACGGATGTCATGCACATGCGTTAGTGTATCAAGCCCTCGCTATGTCTCATAGCTAAGGGCGGAGGGACGCAGCGAATCGCGATTCGCGTATATCACGGTTGCGCCTCGGCCGAAGACATCTTTCTTTCGGCTGGCGCTTCCTCTGCTCTTATTCTCTTGCTGAGACATAATAATTAATTTCTCAAAAACTATTGCGAATAACGCAAAACGGCACAGGACTTTCTTGCTCACTTCAAACCGTTCTACGTTCTCACAAAGGGTTATCATGGATGTCTGAGACACCCTGTATACAGGATGTCTCAAAGCAATGGTACATCGCTCATAAGCGTATATATGGTCAAACTAAATAAAAAATGGTAGAGAAATTTTTTATTTTGTTTGACCTATTCTATATTCTCACGAGTAGTGACACTATTGTTCTGGAATACCCTGGTATTGTTCTGGTATATACACATCAGAGTATTTTTTTATCGATTATATCCACTAAATACATAACATTACTCTTTATAAAAAATAGAGTCGAAAATTCTGAATTATTGTTTTTCGTATTGCTTAATAAAATAGTAATTCTGAAGTCAAATATTGGAGTCAAGAAGTCAAAAAGTATTGGAGTCAATTTTTGAAAAAGAAAAGAAGAAAATAACGTCTCGTAATTAGTCTTTTTATTTTTTGCTCTACTGAGAGAAAAAAATATCTAAGTGACAGAAAGAAATAAAGAAATTTTTTTTCGGTGGTACTAATAAATTAAATATTTACTTAAATTTCTAGTTTTATTTAGTTTTAAATTGAAGTAAATCATATTCATCTGAGTCTCAATTCTTTTATTTGATTAAAACTAACAGGGTGAGGTTAATCTTTGTTAGTCGTTGAATTAGCGATACATGTTCCTCGTAGAGCCATTTAGTGTTATCTTTTAGACGAATAATATATCCGTGAGCTGCATACATGTGACGATCGTTTATACACATTACTAGATACGCGACTCACGAACTCGCATCCATTATAAGAGATTGCGTACTGATATCGGCTAAACTTTATTTAATAATTACGACTTTTTTAAGAGTTTTGGAAAAAAGAGGCTTGCGACTTTTCGATTTAGCCTTTCATGAGGTATAACGCTATATACCTAATAGGCAATCGGAAAGAAATACTCTATATTTGCGCATGTGTGTATGTATATGTATGTAGGTGTGTATATTCAAAGATTTAGACTTTATTCGCACTCTCCGTTTTTTATTGCCTCGAACTCTTCGATTTGAAGCGCCAAGCGACCAATAGTTCGCACTACGAATCAAATCGATCGCCTTGAAGTAACGCCAACTCTCGACAGGCTGTATGTATACATGCGCGGGATAACTACGGGGATTAATCAGATTAACAAGCAGCTTCATTAATTAACTGATGCCGTGTATCACGCGGCTCTGATAACTTGCCTCGCAACAGCTTGCCATTGTGAGAATTGGTCGAGCAAAAGCTAGCTGTGTCTGTCTGTCTGTCTCTCTGTTGACCTGTCTGTCTATCTGCTGTCGAACTGTCTGTCTATATATCTGTCTACCTACCTGTTCGTCCATACGCCTCTATATAGCATGTCTCACTGTCAAGAACCGATCGTTTAACCGTCTGCCTATCATGTTGGTAAGTAATCTGCATTTTGCCCTTAACCAGTGATTACGGCTTCCGTATTAACAAAAAAAATCTAGACTACTAGGTGTAACACTAAAATTGAATGATCGACGGCGATGGCGCCTTTCGGATTTCGTGGAATCTCGCAAACGCGTGAGCAAAGCGCCTTGTTGACTTAAAGAGGCTTTACTAGTCGATTTCGGAAACTCCTACATATGAATATTTTTCAAGAATCATTTTTGGTCGATATCTGATTCATTTTTTGGAAAATTTCGAAGAAAAGAGATGACCAGATTAAATTCTAGAATCGGAGGAAATTTATGTAAATTTACCTAAATTTGTTTTATGAGTTTTTTCAAACTGAATTTTTATAAACGCGACTTCGACTAAAATTCAGCACTGCGAACGATTCTTTTTTGAAAATCATTGTGAAATTTTTATGCGCAAAGTCAATATTGCGATGAGAAGCGGAATTCCCCGAAATTCAGCGTCTAGTGTGTCGTTGAGACTCTTACGAAGAGAACGCTCTTTAATTCATTTGCTCTACGTCTAGGCTTATCTCAATGGCATACGGTCAAATCGGCATGATCCAAGCCGCGGCCGGCTTCTTCGTCTACTTCGTCATAATGGCTGAGAACGGATTTCTTCCCTTGTATTTGTTCGGCATCCGAAAACAATGGGACTCCAAGGCTATCAATGATCTTACCGACAGCTATGGCCAGGAATGGGTAAGTACAGTCGAAAAAATCTTCAATGTCTGTTTCTACCAACGTCGATTAAACTCCCCATAACCTAAGTTTAAACTCTAGTCAGACAAAAATTTAACTTTCTGTTATTTATGTGCACCTGTAAAGTACAACCCGAATTTTTCTAGTGCAGTATAAAGTGGAGATTAAAGAAGACACACGTCATATTTTTTACCTTCCTATCTCTCCTGTCTGCGTAGAACAGTGCATGCTTGCCTTCCGCATCATCAATATCAGAGTTGTAGGAAATAAAAAACACTTGACAGATGTGACAATTGATGTATTTCTAATGTTACTGCCAAGCTAATTTTTACATTAAATCTTTCGTTTTTATTTGAAAGAGTTATTAATTTTTACTTTCTTTATTGTCTTTTTTAAATTTATTTTAAAAAATTGTAATGCGCGCGCAGTTTTAAAAGAGTATACACATATTGTGTCTCTTGTTTTTTTCTTTTTTAATGTTACATGTTTAAAAATATGAGTTGTTTTTCATGTAAATAATAAAATGTTCAATTAAATTTATCTTATTTTAATGTCTCTATAAATTTTAAAAGTAGTGGATAGGAAAATTATACATAAAACGTGGGTTTTCTTTAAAATAACTAGATGTCACCTCTCAAGTAATCTGCGATTATTCTTGTTCCAAAGGTACGCAAGTAATGAAAGGTTAAAAAATTAATATTCAAGCAATATTGGTAGAAACGGATATAAGGCGATTAAATTATCATTCAAAAGATTCGAGTTTATCGGACCCTCGAGTCTTCTTCGTGCACCGGAATAATTGTTTGCATTTGCTTTCTCGCGAATAGACCTACAGGGACCGCAAAACATTGGAATTCACCTGCCACACAGCTTTCTTCGTATCGATCGTCATTGTGCAATGGGCTGATCTGATCGTTTGCAAAACGCGCCGCAACTCGATCATTCACCAGGGAATGAGAAACTGGGCTCTGAACTTTGGCCTTGTATTCGAGACCGCCCTTGCCGCGTTCCTAAGTTACACACCCGGTATGGATAAAGGTCTTCGTATGTTCCCACTCAAGTACGTGTTTACCTTTATATCTCTATATTTGTATATTTGTCATAACCAGTGCTAAATTAATGAATCCAACACGTTGATCGCGACGCTGAATTCACGTGTGAACCTATCAGATTCAAATTTCCGGCGTATTGTATTATTGAAACTTTGGTTTTCGTTTGATATGTTTCTAAATATTTACATAGTAAAATTATTGCTAATAAGAAGCAAGCAAAATCATAAATTGGTGATAGGGTTCGTACACGTCATGTAGACATGGCGTTCAACGTGTTAAAGTGAAAAATGTAATCAACATGATATCAATTATACAATTTTGTATCGATAATACGCATAACGCAATATTAATACTAACTGACTTATATACGTTTCAGATTCGTATGGTGGCTGCCAGCTCTGCCCTTCATGTTCGCTATTTTCATCTACGATGAAACGAGACGATTCTACCTCCGCCGGAACCCGGGCGGCTGGCTCGAGCAAGAAACTTACTATTAGATTCAGAGAAGGATTAATCACACATTGCAGAACGCGCGCGCAAGAGAGAAGAGTGAACCGGAAGAACGAGCGGAGAACGAGAGAGAGGGAGAGAGAGAAGATGGAGAGAATGATGGGAGAGAATGTGACGCATACTCACACCTGAGGGAAAACAGAAAAGAAGAAAAAATAATTTACTCATGTTGAACAGACACACACATTTCACACAGGACGTGCTACTGGGTCTATCTGTTATCGGATCGATCGAGAGCAGCAACAACAACGACGAAGAACAAAATGCCGACATCGCAAGATACGCAAATTCACGCCGGCTCTCGCGACCGTATGAGAGAGATCGAAAAGGGCGGCAAGATCATTAATACGGATGAGACCCTTTAGCGCTATAGGTGCAGCGCAAGGTACAAAAAGCACCCTCATCGTTCTGGCTTTGCTGCCAATTGCTTGCACGCGCGTGCCGGGTTTCGTAGATTCAATTTGATGATCCGGTGTTCGAGACCGTCGAGGAGAGAAAAGAAGAAGAATGAAGAGGAAGAATCGTCAAAGAGTTTCCATCGACCACCATCACCATCACTATCACCATCACCATTACCACTATCATCTCCACCTCATTGTCATCATTACCACCATCATACGAACGGCCGATTGAAACGAGGCCGCTCGCGTTTCCCGCTTCGCGTTCAACGACGCGACTACTAGAGCTTTCCGGTGATGATTGTTGGTGCTGTTATTGAATTATGGACGAGATTACTTCGCGAACGTCGCTCGAAGAAGATAGAACGAAGGAACGAGAAGGAAAAAGAGAAAGAAAGAAGACAGTCGCCGAGTCGATAGCGCTGCGGTGTAGCTCTACCACTTGCATGGGTGCCGCGTGTCAGGCCTAAAGAAATGTAGTAACGCGACAAGAGGTAACAAATAAACGAACGAGCGAAAGTAAGGAAAAAAAAGGAAAGAAAATCGACGGAAAACGGACACATATACACACACTCAACAAAGCGTGTAAAATAACTATGCGCGCGGGGCGTTAACGCGCGATATTAGAGAGCCGCGAAATCATGTGCGTCCTTATTATGTATGCCGAATGCGATTACACACGTGACTTCTTACTATTAGTGACGTATTTACGTAGACTTGTAATCTTTGCGTTACCAAGAAACTTCATAGGCTTTCGTTGATCGTCGATCAATGCGCGCAAATCGATACACTAAGAGATCGGCATACACGCTCTACAATGGGGAAAAGAACCTAGAAAGGCAAGGGACTCGAAAAGTAAAGAGAGAAGAGCAGACCGACGCGAAAGAGTCGAAACCGAAGTGAGAGAAAGAGAGAAAAGGAAGAGAGGAAAAGAAGTGCTCAATATAACAGGAAAACCGTTAAAGAATTCTAGGCATTTCTCGTGACATTGAAATACTTCGTACATCTATTAATTGTTAATCGTAATGGACGAATTGGTACGTTTAGATCGGCATGGTCTAGTTTTACGTCAAAAATAAATAACTAAAAGCGAGAAAGAGAGCGTGAGAGTGAGAATGAGAGTGAGAAAAGAAGGAAGGAAGTGATAAGGGGAGAGAGAGAGCGAAAGAGAGAATTATGATATAGGTAACTAAATGAAATAAAAAAAATAATAATAAAATATGATTAAATAAAACGCATTCGCAGTATTCATTATTAATTATAAACGACATCGTTCGGTTTGAATCTTTAATCCAAATAGCCGAGTCAGGGTCGGCGAGAGAAAAAACGTATCGCGTAGTTTCAGTAGTTACCACTATTAGAGAGCGCGAGGATAATATTACAATAACACCGGTGAACATACGGGTTGCGATAGCAAGGATGTAGAAACAGGGTTCTAATTCGGTTCCAGTGATGTTATGAGGAAGGGGTTGTGAAGAGAGAGAAGAGATAGGAGGACAGTGATCTCATCCTATCGATGTCACAAGTCGGGGAATATACATTCACAAGAATGAACTAAATAAAAGAAAAGAAAGAAAGGAGTGAGAATAGTTGAAAATAAAAGGAGTCGAAGAACAGCCTAGTAGCTGGCAAACGGAAAGGAAAAGAAAGAGGGAAAAGAAAGAGAAAATGAATAAATGAATTATTGAAATGTTATTAGTTAACGACAAGATACATGCAGAATAAAAAATAAAGAGAGGTATAAGAGGAGAATTTGACGAGAGAAAGATGGTGTCGTGTTCGCAATCTCGACGGTGAACACTGAATACATGTTAAATGTCTCGTGTAATGAAAAGAAAATTATTGTGCAGAATATAGAAAAAAGAGGATACATATGTACGACGGATACAGATAGATAGATAGATAGATAGAGAAAGAGAGAGAGAGAGAGAGAGATCAGACGGAGAAAAGATATGAGTGAAGAAGAGAATGACAGAGAAAATGAAAACATTCTTACTTAGATAAAAGAAAGCTAAAAGTAAATGAAGATATAAATTCATTCTCTTAGTTTTTCATAGATTTAAACGCCAGCGAGATAGCTCGCTATAAATCATTGACACCCCCCAAACGCGGAACGCCCTGTGCATCAAAAGCAAATTGCGATCTCTGTGTAATCGTGTCAACCAGTCAGCCAACCAGCCAGCCAGTCAGCCAGCCAGCCAGCTAGCCAGCCAGCCAGCCAGCCAGCCAGCCAGCCAGCCAGCCAGCCAGCCAGCCAGCCAGCCAGCCAGCCAGCCAGCCAGCCAGCCAGCCAGCCAGCCAGCCAGCCAGCCAGCCAGCCAGCCAGCCAGCCAGCCAGCCAGCCAGCCAGCCAGCCAGCCAGCCAGCCAGCCAGCCAGCCAGCCAGCCAGCCAGCCAGCCAGCCAGCCAGCCAGCCAGCCAGCCAGCCAGCCAGCCAGCCAGCCAGCCAGCCAGCCAGCCAGCCAGCCAGCCAGCCAGCCAGCCAGCCAGCCAGCCAGCCAGCCAGCCAGCCAGCCAGCCAGCCAGCCAGCCAGCCAGCCAGCCAGCCAGCCAGCCAGCCAGCCAGCCAGCCAGCCAGCCAGCCAGCCAGCCAGCCAGCCAGCCAGCCAGCCAGCCAGCCAGCCAGCCAGCCAGCCAGCCAGCCAGCCAGCCAGCCATCCAGTCAGTCAGTCAGTCAGTCAGTCAGTCAGTCAGTCAAGTCAAGCCAAGCCAAGCCAAGCTGAGCTAAGCTAAGCTAAATTAAGCTAAGCTAAGCTAAGCTAAGCTAAGCTAAGCCAAGCCAACGAGCCAGCGAGCGCGCGTCCGTGTGTGTGTCTGTATGTACGTTGTGTGCAGTATGCGTATATGTTGCATGTGATGGCGTATATGTATGCGTGTGCGTACGTAATGTGCGTACAGTTTTGAAGCAACAACGGTGACTTAAAATGCCTGCCACGCGACTTTTCGGGCTGGGACGATCCGAGATTCGTCGATACGGACTTGCCAAACCAAACTCGCGAGTGAATATCTCTTTTTCCTCTTCCCCTCTCCCTGTGAATACCTCGCTTATTATCCTCGCATTCGCCATCCAGATGAGCGTAATCACGCTGTTCGTCGAAGTCCGTATCGACGAGGTAGCATTCTTCATCTTAAACGAGCAGAACCTCTTTCGACGACGGATGATACGAGAATAGTCGATGAACGAATACGCTAACGTACATTTTCTTTTGCGTTACAGCTCTTTCAAGAATGGAGTCGACATTCGTAATCATGTTGCATAATATCGGTGCCATGTGTACTCGTCTACTGTCGAAAGAGTCGTGAAATGCAGTCGAGATATCGTTGTATATGTAATGATGTAATCATGATCCTTCGGAGTTTCCTTATAAATCGATTGATGCATTTTTACTTGTCGCAACAAGCGACATTTCTTCATCAACCGATAAGATACTTGAACTATATAATTACTGTTTCACGAAAGAAAATAGAATGATATCGATCACATCATGAAACGGTATTCGCAGGTAGAATCGCGTTTCCGTCGATCGATCGATCGATCGATCGACCATTCGTTCGACGAGGATCGCGACGGACGTGATCGCGGCTCGATTATATGGAATGAATACGACGCTCTCTCGGCGGTCCAGGTCCCAAAACTCTACCCTAAGTGTTCAATAATCGAGATGTTCTCGAGGTGTGCCCTATATGCGCGCTTAACGTTCTTCCTTCGCCAGTTCCTTAGCCGGTACTGCGGCTGTCGAGTGTTCTCGCGACGCGACGTGGACACGAAGAGACGGCCGCCCGCTAGCGTTTCCTCGGCTTGTCGCGACTGATTTTCTCTGTTGTGCACGCTTCAAGCCGCGGGAAACCGCGTTCCGAACTTTGCGACCGATGAAGCGCTGCCTGAGTGCGCCGCGAGAGCCCGAGGGACGATTACCGGATTACGCGTTCAAAGAATATATCTGAGGGATGTCGGCATCTCCAAAAATACATGAATTTCTGAACGTTCAAAAAATACTCGGTCAACGTTTATCTCAACGACATCCCTCGAGGAGAGTTCTTGCGTCATTCGTGAAGAGAACGGACGAAGGAGTGCTTTCCTCGAGTCAAGTCACGGGTGCGAGAAAGAAGGCATCGGATAGTCACGAGGGTGACACGCGAGTCTGAATCAGAAATCCGGGAATTCACGACAAGTTACACAAGTTGTTGTCTTGTTATCGCGAAATATAGCTGATGATTGTTCTGCAATCGCGCACGCAGTTCTGATCGAATTATTCAATCTTTATCGGTGAAATTATTTGAATTATATGTAATTCGGATTTAACATCGCAATGCGATCGATCGATCAATCGCTCGATATTATGGTGAAAATGCGAAGATTAAAGGTGTTTTACGCGCGTCCATTATTATTATTCTCAGTAACTTGTCGCGTTTCCGGATCGGATAAATGTTTAAAATGTATGGAATGAAGAGATATGGAAAGAAAGTGAAAGAGAGAAAGAAAGAATGAATGAAAGAGAGAGAGAGAGGGGGAGGGGGAGGGAGGAAGGGAAAAAGAGAGAGTGTATGTATGTAAAAGAGATGAGAGAAAGGAATACTCGTGTGTATGCGTGTGAAAAAAGTTGGGAGGAAGACAAGAAGAGAAAGAGAGATGTACGATGGATTTCTTTGAAGCTACGAAGAAGATCCGCGGTGTTGTCGACAGGGTGTTCCGTGCCCGGGGGGCCGTAGGAGCCCAAAAAATGCTTTGCCGTCGTGCGTCGCCTCTTTACTTTAGGCTAATAATTTAAATATTATTAATAATATAATAGTAATAAAATAAATAAATAATGATAAATAATAATAATAATAAATAATAATACATGTTACAATAAGATATTATTAGATGTAATTATTATATATGGTTTAGTCTAGATCGTGTTGTTGAAGAAAAAAAACAAAGTACGTATAAGCAAACAAAAAAAAAAGAAGAAGATGGAAACAAAGATCGAGCAAAGTAGTTAAAACGTGAGGGTGTTAAATGCTCGACAAATTAAAAAAAAGAAAAACAGTCGAGAAGAAGAGGAAGCGAAAGCATGAGAGAAAGAGGAAACACACACCAGATAGGGAGGAAGTTTCGGTCTAAGACCACATAAAATCCTTCGCGGTGGACTGAGCGGGACGCGGATCGACGTCATCTCGTCGACGGGATGCGTAACGAAATCGGATGCAGGACACGTCGCATTATTATTACACTTTCGTACGCGTCATTTAAGGAAGAAAGTAAGAGAGAGAGAGAGAGAGAGGGAGGGAGAGAGAGAGAAAGGGAGGAAGAGGGCATCGACAAATAAAGGGCGAAAAGAAGAAGAAAATTTTTCGATCCTGTGTGTGTACAGACGGATACCGCATTTGTTTCGCTTCTCTTCTCCGCATGTTTATGAAAGAACAGTAGGATCGAGGCGGCCGATGCTCTTTTTTTTCGGCCGATGTGTGCTCTGTTTTTTTCGGAGAGAAGAAAGAGCGTTGTGATTTCCTTCGCGATCGCAAGATAACACGTACACGTATTTACACACGCGCGACACGCAACGCACGTCTTCGTTTTCTCGCGAGTCTCTTTTAGCGTCTAATAATAATAATAATATTAATAATAATTATAATAAGGATATATTCTGCGAGACGACGACACGACGCCGCGCGCCCGCACAGCCCGCCGCACGAATAACCGCGTCGGAATCACTGAACGATCACAAAAATCTAGAAACAAGAGGAAACAGAAAAAAGAAAATCGACAAAAGAAGAAAAAAATGGGTGAGAAAAAAAGGCGAACGATGTTTTATTAATATTGTACATATTTTAAATAAATTGAAGACGGAAAAACAGATCGCGCGCGCGAACAACGGCGACCTATTGATTGTAAAAGGCATTTCTCGCCGTGGAGGACCGCCTTTTCGTCTCGGGTCTGCTGTACACTCTTTTTTTCTTTCCTGTTTTTCTTTCTTTAGTTTTAATAAACGCGCCTCGTACACGCCATAAACACGCCATACACAGTAACGCGCGTGTACCACACGTACATGTCGTTTACACATTGCCCGTAAAAATAGAGACGGGTTACCTACACATATACACACACACACACATATATATATACACATACATGCATATACGCGCTCACGGAGGTGACATACATTTACTACACCGCTCCACCAGCTATTTATATTCTAATTGATGATTGACGC